CCGGGCTGGGGATTCAAACCCACCACCTTAGGTGTATGTGGCTGGCGCCTTAGCTGCTTGAGCCACAGGCACCGAGCCTCTTCATCTTTTCTTATAGCTGAATAGTACTCCAGGGTATGCGTGTACCACAGTATGTTAATGCCTAACTAAATTAATAAAGACTGTTCTCCGTTCTCCCACCAGAGAAGGCACCATCAAACCTGGCGACAGGCTGCTCAGCGTGGACGGGATCCGGCTTCTTGGAACCACGCACGCGGAGGCCATGAGCATCCTGAAGCAGTGTGGGCAGGAGGCGACCCTGCTGATCGAGTATGACGTCTCCGTGATGGGTAGGTCACGCCCTGCAGGCACCTCAGGCTCCAGAGGGCACGGCTGTCTCTCCCTGATAAACCACGGTCAGATTACGTGTGTCACTGTGCCATCCCGTAGGAGACAGAATTTCATCCGTTCTCTGTCTTTTTACTTGGCTTGAGCTCAGGAAGAGGTGAGCGCTGGTCCTTTCCAGCAACGTGGAGTCCCCACATCAGGAAGGTCTGTGCCTCCCCTTGCAGTCAGCTCTTCCCTGGGGGCTGCCTTTGGAGCAAAGTGTTTCCTTCCAAATCACGAAACTAGTATCATTAACTTAAAGATCAGTACTTTCTCTAATACCACGAGGAGACTGCTGCAAGAGGAGATAGCTTTCTTTGAGTAACTTCACCCTGGGAAGCCAGCTACTCAGAATTAATAGAAATGACCGTTTATTTTATCATCAGATTTAGAGGTAAGGAAAAGAAAGGGGACATACAATATATCTAATTAAAATTAAAAGTCGAGTGCAGTATTCTGTAAATAATGATTCTAATGAAAAGAAACTTTCTACACTCACACCAATAGTAAAACTGGCAAGATGGTCTCATGTGGCTTTTAAATGTTAAGAACCAAAGTTTTGTGTGGTATTAACTAAGGCAGAGAAACTATGAGAGAATGGATTGCAACCTACATCATACTGTAAGTACCCCTTAGAATTATCAGACTTGATTTGGTCACCTAGTTTCACCAGCCAGTGAAATGTAGCAGGAAAAATCTTCTCTTCCCAGGAGGTGTGACTCAGGTGTAACAACGTTGCTTCAGAGTCTTCTTAATCCGTTTGCAGCCCTGAAATGTCTTAGATCAGCAGTTCTTGTCCCGACCCGCAGAACTGTATTAAAGGGTCGCAGCACTAGGAAGGTTGAGAACATTGTCTTAGAGGGACGTGAGGCTTCCTAACAGACTTGAGTGCAGGACTCCAGGAGTTCTCAGCAGGTGACTGAGGTGGCCTGCCCTCCACCCATAGAGCCCCAGATGATGCTCCCTCCCGCACGTCCCTGCCTTCTCTGTTCCTCTTTCCTCCCTTCTCTCCCTCCTTTTCTCTTTGTTTCTGTCTATGGCTTTGAGTTAAATGGATTGAATTCCTTTGGCAACGCAGTGATTTCCAGCTGCTGGGACCATGTGCCGTACTCTCCTTTGCCTTATTTATCCAGTGGGGACTAGTGATGTCTACTAGTAAAGGCAATCGTGAGGATAAGATTATATAAGGAAGATATATTTTAAAAGACGAGACAGATGGATTATTAGCGTTAAAACCAAAACAGATGGACTAAATGGCGGGCACCAGGAATATACAGGTAAACAAGACAGACCTGGTCCCTGCCCTCGTAACACGTGCAGTTGATGAGAATATCACCAAGCAAATGGTCTCATGAAGTGCGATCATTGTCCTAAAGGGCATGAACGGGCTTCTGCAGCAGGAAGTAAGGAGCATGGGTGGCAAGGGTGCAGGAGCTTTAAACAGGGTGATCAGTGAAGAAGTAACAGGTTAAAACCTGGGGGCTTCGAAGGACCCCATGCCCAGGCTGCAGACGGCAATACTGTGAGGCCCAGATGCTCTGCCTCAGAGGGGTAAGGGCTCCCTGTCAGGATGGATGAGCCATCCGTGTGCCCCTGTCACAGGGTCAGCAGAGGATGGGCTGAACTGCCTGACTGCCTTCTCCCAGTCACACTCACATTCTGTGTGACACCTGACAGTTTTCACCCACTGGAGTTCCTGGTCAGCTCCCTCCTCAAGGAAGTGGCCCATCAGGAAGGAGACTCATCACAAGCTCTGCGGGGCTGCTGGGTGTAAGATCAGTGGACAGAATTATGCCAGACAAAAGCAGAAAGTTAAACTTCTAAGATGCCATTTATAATAACAATAAATAAGGTTCTTATAAGGAATAAACCAAACAAAGTCGTATAAGCCCTTTATAAATGGAGACTATATTAATGTGTGCAGATACACGTATGCATGTATCAACTAAGAGTTTTTACTTCCATGAAGAAGTGGGTCACGTGCTTGAAGAAGTAGTTTTAATATCTAAAACATGACATTTATCACAAATGTATTCAAAAATTTAATTCTGTTCAAAATCTCAAAGAAGGATCTTCGAGGTCACCTAAATAAGCTGATTCTGAAATGTATATGGGGTTAGAAAAGGTAGAATGGAAAAAGAGCCAAAATATTTTCAAAACAATGTGGAGACAGCAGAGCTGCCCAGTACCAAAACCTACTCTGAGACTGTGCTGTAAGTCTGCGCAGAAGAACACGGGGTCAGAGGGCCCAGCGGACCCGGAACAGGAGGCACAGTTAGGGAGGAGACTAGTTAGTGGATGGTGCTGGGATAGTTAATTAGCCATATAGGAAAAAATAAAAATTCCTACTTCATATCACACTCCAAAATAAATTCTGTATTTATTTAACCATTTCCCAATAGACTGCTACACACATTATAAATAGCTAGAATAAATATTCTTTTACCCACATCTTTGTATTTCTGATTTCATGAAGAACTCTGTATTTGTTTTTAAAATATTTAGTGCATAATTCTAAATTATTTTTCAGAAAGGTTGTATTTTTTATATCATTACCAGCAGTGTTGTGAGTGTGCCTAGCTAACTAGAGTCAACATTGAATGTTATCGTTTTGAAGTATATATCTGATCTGTTATGCAAAAATTGCATTATATTTAAATTTACCTTTTAACAGATTTCCAGTGCAGGTGAATTTTTTATATAGATCTCAGCCATTCTCACTGTGTCCTTATTCACGTTTCTGTTGGAGGTGCTCTTTGTTTTTTGTTTATTGGTGCACATTAACTTATCTTAGTGACCAGGTTTGTAAAATCTTCTCTCAGTAACTAATTTCCCCTCAAAGTTATTTATGGACTCCTATTAAGACACTCTTAGATAAGGCTAAATAGATGCAAAAATTGTAATTAAAAACATAAGATCTTAAATGAGAAAGATGGTTCAGTAGAGGTTCGTAAAAACACCACCAAATAAATACAAAAGGGAGGGACTTGGTCAGGCTAAAGAAGGGAGTTCATTAGTCTTCAAAAGTGGGGAGTCAAAGGCATATCCTGGCTCCAGACGCCAAGAGTTCTGTCTCATCTCTCCCTGCCTGAGATCAAAAGTGGGGAGTCAAAGGCATATCCTGGCTCCAGACACCAAAAGTTCTGTCTCATCTCTCCCTGCCTGAGAAAGGCTTTCCCTCTGTCTCCGCAAGGTGGCCACAAGTATAAGTTATCTTGAGAGTTTATGATACCAGAGAAAGAAGCAAACCCGGATATGCCCTGAACGATTCTCAATGACTTAGGTTGGGCAGACGCTGACCACTGCCCTGACCCTGTGCCCAGGGACACGGTGCACTGCCCTCTGCACCTGCTGGGTGGGGGCAGCAAGAGCCGCATTGAGTGGCCCTGATGGTGGGAGAGGGCAGTGGCAACCCCCTCCAAAGCAGATGGTGCTGTGTTGACAAAGAAAGTAGCAGGAGTCTATTTTAAGACACAATTAGATGTTAAGTACTAAATTCTCACAACAGCACATGAATTTCTTAACTGGCGTTTAGCCTTCTCGATCTTTCTCATTCTCACTGTCCCGACGGCCGTGTAGTGTGACCTCATCTCGTTCTCACTGTCCCGACGGCCGTGTAGTGTGACCTCATCTCGTTCTCACTGTCCCGACGGCCGTGTAGTGTGACCTCATCTCGTTCTCACTGTCCTGACGGCTGTGTAGTGTGACCTCATCGTATCCTTCTGGGAGGAATGTAACAATGGGAGCAGCTTTTCGTTTGCCAAAGGGGTTTGTTGTATTGATTTTGTTTTTAATACGCTTATTTCTTACTAAGTGTGTGTGCGTGTGTGTGTACAACTTAACTACCAATATCTCAACCTTGAAATCAGACACATTTTTCTTTAAATCTCAGATCATAAATTTTAGCAGTCAATGATTTAAGAAAGCTATGGAAATGATTGATTTTATTAACTAAAGTTGCATTTTATCTTATTAAAATAAGAAAGATTATGGGAAAATAGATGTGAGAAAAAATTAAGAGTTCAGTTTTGCATATGTTTGAGATGTCGATTCATCACCCACGTGGGGTCATCATAGATAGCTGGGTATGTTCACCTGGAGTTCAGTACAGAGGTCAGGGCAATGGACATAAAATTTTGAGCCATCCTAATGGGACGGACCTTAAACCATGAGGTGAGATGAGACTCCATAAACACAGAAGAGAGAAAGGCCCAAAAACTGAACTCTGGGACCACCCAGCAGTTACATGGGATAGGCAAAGAGGAACCTCCTATAAAATCAACAGAGAGGGAGGGAGCCCATGAACCACGGCAGAGGGGCGTGTGGAGGTCGGTGTGCCCTGTGAGTGGGGACATCATTATCCCACCACACTCAGCAGCCGCTGCAGGAGCAAAAGCCTCAACACACACGTGGAGCTTGGTACACCGTACAGGCTCAATGAAATGTGAACTACTTACTGTAAATGTTTAGAGGGAGAAAACCTTCACTCCAATATTGTTGAAATGTATTACTAAATGATGGGTCTGCGAGCCGTCTGGT